GCCCATCATTATGGTGTATGGTGGTTCAGTTCTTACAGCATACCCTTCACTGTTCACGATTTAGTCTCACTCAACATTGCAGTCATAACAGATACCACATAACTGATCGATAGAACTAGTCCCTATCTCTGGACACCAGCACCAATACAAGACATAAACCAAGCACAGCATAAACCATCTGCCAGAGTTAAGACAAACATTAAAATCATTAAAAAAGTCTACACATATGAGGCCTAGTACCTATGTCGATGCACAGTTTCATGGCTGTTGTTAAAACCAGAGCACTATAGGAACAGAAGTAGTCACTAAAGAGACAAATTCTCTGTAAGGTACCAACACAAAAAAAAATTTTCACAAATAACCCACNGCCTAGTACCTATGTCGATGCACAGTTTCATGGCTGTTGTTAAAACTAGAGCACTATAGGAACAGAAGTCGCCACTAAAGAGACAAATTCTCTGTAAGGTACCAACACACAAAAAAAAATTCACAAATAACCCATACTGGGCAGAGTTGTAGTTTTCTGACTTCTGCTGTGATAATGGGAGTCCAGATGGGAGAGATTCCCAAGCTAGGTTGACTGATCAGATGGTCTACCAGAGACATGTGGACAGATTCCTTGTATTTCCTGCAGGTGATGTTTTGTTCAATCTGTAAGACATTCACTTCTTTCGAGCATATGAGGGAGAGTCAGTAAATAGGTCTCAAATGGAAATAAAACAGCTGTAATGGGCGTAATACGTGTTCTACATGTATCACTAGGTAGTGGCACAGTCTAGCCTTCATGAGAGTATACGCACCAGATGTGCATGCACAGGTTGAGAGGCTGGTTTCAGTAGTTAAAATTAAGACTGTGCTTGAGGGATGTACTACCAAGGAGCAGCCTTCTGTCATGTGTTTTCCAGGTAAAAGGACTCAATGCAAAGGATATTCATACAGAAATGTTTCCTGTTTATGGTGGAAAGTGGTTCACAACTTGGTCAAGAAATTCTCTCGAGGATGTTCAAAAGTCACAGACAATACCCGGCAAAGTCACCCTGTTGAGATTGTGACAGAAACAACTGTGCAGCTGGTGGAAGAGTTGATTTGAGCTGACAGGAGGATAGCAATAGACAGTGTAGCAATGGCAACTGTTCCCATGGTTTAGCATACAGCATAATGCATGATCATTTGAAGTTTTGGAATTATAAGCCATGATGTGTGCCCAGAGAACTGATGGATCAAAAAAAATAACCTAATAGATCTTTCCTTGTAACGTCTCTTATGGTGTGCAGATGAAGGAGAAGATGTAGTTAACAGGATTATTACTGAGGAAGAATCATTGGTGCATCACTACCAACCTGAACCAAAGTGTGCTTCACTGTAAAGGAAATATCCCAGTGCCCCTTCAACCAAAAAGTTTAAGGTTATGCCCCTCAGCCTTGAAGGTTATGCTTAGACTGTAGCTTTAGTAACATATTACACTCAACTCTCGATTATCCAGGGGCAGATAAACCGGTTTGCGGCTTAACCAGGGCTTTTTTGAGGCTTATATGTTGTTTAATATTCATTCATTTTTGTTTCTCATGGTGAGTTGTAACACTATTTTCACGCTAGTGTGAACTGAGCTCTGAATTTTTTGGTACCGTTATGCTAACACAGTGTTCTAGGGTAGGGGTGAAAGAATGCAAGGATTTGTGGAAAGTTTCAAGGACAGATACATCGCCCCAGTTAGTCTCCTGGTATCGATCTTCAAGTGCGTTAGCAAAATGTCAGGGTGCAAAAGGAAGCGTGTTTTGTTAAGTATTCAACAGAAACTCGTGTGAGCCGGGCTTCGAAATGTTAAGCAGTGATGAAACCGTAAGTTCAGTGGGGGTGCAGCCAGAAGAGCGGGAAGAAAGTGAGAATGAGGAAGAGGTGGACAGTGCTGGTAGTAAGAAAGTATCACATGGTGCTGCTCTTAATCATTTGGAATCCTGACTAGACTATCTTGAGAGTGAAGAGAACAGTTTATTAAGTGACAAGCTAATATTACGGAGGCTTCGTACGGATATCCGTAAAAAGAAAATGCCGCGAAAAAGCAAACGACAATATCAATTTTTTTTAAGTGTTAAGTGTGAATATTCATAAAAAGTGTTGGATGTTGTCGAACACTGTGATTGAAATAACTAATTCATACTTCAGTGTAATGCGAAAAAGTATTACATAAGCCATGAGATGACATAAAATGAGGTTGAATAAATTTAAATACAGGCAGGCCTATAGTATTATGAAGGTACAGTATTACCATTATCCCGGATAATCAAGAGTTGAGTGTATTAAGCGTAATATTGTGGAAGAAGTTGTAACCAACTTCTACCATTTCCTTGCATTTAGATTAACATTTGCCTTTAACTAATCTACTGATTGTTCAAATAGAATTTTATGGGACTGTATTGACAACCAACCCCAGTCACAATAAAGATAGACCAAAAACAAGTGGAGAATGTGAAATGTTTTAAATATTTGGGTAGCTTGTTAACAGATGATGGAAGGTGTACTTGTGAAATTAAATCCAGGATTGCCATGGCAAAAGCTGCATTTAGCAAGAAGAAGAATCTTTTTACCAGCAAATTGGACTTAAATTTGAGGAAGAAACTAGTGAAATGCTACATTTGGAGCATAGCTCTGTATGGGGCTGAAACATGGACACTTAGGGCAGTAGATCAGAAACATCTGGAAAGTTTCGAAATGTGGTGTTGGAGAAGAATGGAGAAGATCAGTTGGACCGATTATGTGAGAAATGAAGAAGTGTTAATTAGAGTCAGTGAGCAGAGGAATATCCTACATGAAATAAGAAAACGGAAGGCTAATTGGATTGGTCATGTTTTACGCAGAAACTGCCTTCTAAAAGAAGCTATCGAAGGAAAGATAGATGGGCGGATAGAAGTGACAAGAAGACGAGGAAAAAGACGTAAGAAGATGCTGGATGACCTTGGGGACAGAAGAGGATACTGTCATTTGAAGGAGAAAGCTCTAGATCGCATTAATTGGAGGAATTGTTTTGAAAGAGACTGTGGACCTGTCGTCTTGACAGATTACTGATGATGATGATTGCACCTAGACATCAACTTCAATTTGTCTGTCAGTTTCATTCTGCAGTGTGACATAATAGTGAGGTGACATGAACATATGAACATTATGTTGTGTCTCACTAGGCAGTTGTATTATAGAGAGAGATATGCAGTGAATGTAACTAACTGTATGCAAGAAAGCTGTTATGCACACATAATAATTATGTAATAAAAGCAGATTATATAAAATATTAACATCTTAAAGTTTATTAATGTAATGAAGAAAAGTTCTTACTAAATCAGAATCTTATAGCAAGTGAAAAAATATAAGCATACCAGACACACAATTAAAGCCAACAGCTACATACACATAATGGTGTTAAAGATGCCCTGAAAGTGCGCAGACTTTGGCAGGACAATAGAGAGTCTCTCTACCAGTAAATGCGTTGTTAATGTGTTGCTAATAACGTGAATTACAGTAAAAAGAAAAAAATTAAAATAAAACTATCGCTGTAACAGGCCATGAAGGCCCATAAGGGTTGTGAGATGTCGAGGCTCCCACATTTTGTTTAGACAATCAGCTCACAGATAGCGGTAAGGTTGTCAGCCTTATGCGCCAGCCCCATATAGCCCCAGAAAGCATCCTGGAGCTCATTTCTGACAGAGGCTGAGTCAACCCCAGGGCCATAGTGTGACTGGAAGGATTTGATAAATTGAAAAAATCCATCTCATCGGGACTCCAACCCATAACCTTCCGGCTTGTAGCATAGTGCCTCAACCAACTATGCTATCATGTGCTCCAATGTGAATTACAGAATGATCCATTTTTGTATATATATATGTGAGTTTTTGTTTTTCCTGGGATTTGACGAGTGATGAAAGCAGACATAACAGCGTACGCTTGGACAAAGACTGCATATCCAATAACACACTCAACATGCCCAACTATGACCCACCACCAAATATCAACATTATAAACAATTTTTTGAATTGTTTCATTTTTGGTCCGTTACAGTTGGTTTGCAGTACAACACACAACGCATAGGAAACATCTGACCATAAGCCTATACAACCTCAAGCTGACATCTCCCATCATCGGGATGAATTAACAAGGAGGAGCCTAACATTTTACTTCAATGTTTTAAACTTTTAAATATTTTAATATTGACGGTTTAATTTGAGGGCAATTTCGGATGGAATGCGAGAGTTGAACGTGCATTCAATATTCCTAGCAAGTGTTGTGCTTTTACACATCGATATTTGTAGCAGCGTCCACGCAGCATATATACTGTGTACATTTAAACAACGCCAGTGTTTTCATGTGTTTGTAATATGTGCCTCTGATGATGGTTTTATTAAACCGAAACATGTAAGGCAAAAGTGATAGAGAAGTGACCTAAAAACATTGTTACACTCGACGGACTTTCTATTGACTTTGTAATTATAAACAACATAAGAGAAGACAATTACATCACCTACACAACATTTTTGAATCAAGATAATCGCCAATATTAACATTTTATTCATAACACTTGACAAAGAGCAGAATTTATGGATCCATTTAGAACGCACAATTCAGTAGTGTAAGATTTGTCTATGTATAGCCTGATGATGGTTCCATGAACCAAAATATGAAGCAATGCTGTACAACCAAATAAACTCAGATATGCACAGTGGAATTTGAGTGAGTTATTTGGTTTATTTCTGCTGTATTTCAAAGAAAAAAACGAAAACTAGCACACAACAGGAAACATTCCTTAATAATTCGTTTTTATAATAGAGGTTTAATAGTAATAATGTGCTATATACCAGTACTTAGTGACACACTAAAACTGTCCGCTGCAAAAATGTAGAGCCATTTTGTAACTATATATACCACTAGATCCAGTCTATAGTGAAGTAAAACTATACTGTGCTAGAAGTGGAAGACAAAGACAAAGACAAATACTGCAAATACAGCAAGCCTACCTTGCTGAAGTAGCCGACAGTGTGACATCCCTCGGCGTCCCCTATAGTCATAACATAAAAGAGGAAGGGTTCTACATCATAGTAGAGCGTTTTGTGGTCCAGGAAGAACTTGGCTAAAAGGCAGAGGTTTTGACAATACTGCTTGTAGCGTTTGCCATCCACTTCCCAAACTGATATCTTTTCTTTCCTGCAAGCAATAATAATGTAACACTCAGATCCTTCAATATAACACTCCAAAGAGCAGGGCACAGAATGACTGCCATCCAATGAAGAACACCGAAAGCAGTAAATGTCAAGGAAATCAATTTCATACATGGGCAGAGGTCCTATAACCTATGAAGAGACTTTCATACTTCTTCTTTGATTAAGAGGAATGAAAATGTGGTTAACATTGTCATGTGGCTTTTGCCTGCACTGATCCTGTGAAGGAATCAAATTTTTAAGGTTATTTTCTTGTAATAGGTGGGTAGATGGGGGCCTGGTAACTCCAATATTCAGAAAATGTTACTTTTTTCAGAGGGGAAAGAAAAAAAAGTATGCAGCAAAATCTGAAATGGATCCAGGTGGTCTTAAACTCCAGACTTTGCTACTCAGGCACACCAAGCCTCCTTAAGAAGAAAGTATAGCATGTGTGTGTCAAGCAACAGTTGTACATCATAAGACATGTTTACATGTCCCTGTTAGAAACCTACTGAGCCTACTAACCTACTAACTCTCACAAAATCCCATTGAATGTTATGTTACTGTTTATTTCTATAGAAGCAAATCACAGTAACAAGGGTTGCACAATTCTTAGAAATCTTTTACACTAAAAAATCAGTGCTGACATGCATAGGAATGGTTATCAAGAGGGTTTTATACACAACTCCCAACGACAAGTAACTATAACACTATCACTGATCTACTTACTTACTTACTTACTCATGGAGCTGAGCCCTTCTGGAGGAGCCGCCAATTCTGCAGCTACTCAAGAATTTCCCAGCAGTTTATGAAACTTGAAGGTTCATTACCGTTTTCACAAGAGGCCTCCACTGGTCCTTATCCTGAGCCAGATCAATCCAATCATCACTATCCCATCCTATCTCTCTAAGATCCATTCTAATATTGTCCACCCATCTACACCTTGGTCTTCCCAGTGGTCTATTTCCTTCTGGCTTTCCCAGCAATATCCTATATGCATTTGTCTCCCCATTCATGCTACATACCCTGCCCACCTCATCCTCCTTGACTTGATCATTCTAATTATACTTGGAGAAGAGTACAAGTTATGAAGCTTCTCATTATGCAGTTTTCTCCAACCTCCTGTCACTTCATCCCTCTTCGGTTTAAATATTCTCCTCAACACTCTGTTCTCAAACACCCTTGGTTTATGTTCCTCCCTTAATGTCAGAGACCAAGTTTTACACCCATAGAGAACCACAGGCAAAATTATGGTTTTGTATATTCTAATTTTTATGTTTTTGGACAGCAGACGAGAAGACAAAAGGTTCTGGACTGAATGGTAGCAAGCATTACCCAAGAGTAATCTCCTCTTAATTTCCTCCTGAATCAGGTTTCGATCTGTTATCATTGTTCCCAAATATCTGAATTGTGCCACATTTTCAGAACATCTGTTTCCTATTTTTATGTCATGATTTTGCCCTGCATTTTGGTGACGAGCCAGCAACATATACTTAGTTCTCTCTGTGTTTACTTCTAGACGAACCTCTTTACTTGCGTCAATTAATGTTTGTGTTTTTCTTTATGGTATCTACCTTATTTACTTGCTACAGTATTTTCAATTATTTGGCACTGCTGACTGTAAAGTTGGTTTTACTGACAGTGCATTATAAACACAAGGTGTGTTAGCTTCCAGTCATATGATGTCTGTACCAGTTTTTCCATGTGCAAAGTGATTAAAAAAATTAGTGTGGAAGGAGGGGGCCAAAAGACATACAAACAGCAAGACAGCACCATAAGCCTCTCTAGTCACAGAAAGGGAAACCAAATTAAAAACGGATCTTCAGAACTAGGTCCAGGATGGATGTTTGTGTTAGCACTGTTAAATTTTATGGCTAGCCAGTAAAAAAGTAAAGCTATCCCTGTAACAGGCCATGAAGGCCCATAGGGCTGAGATGTTGAGGGTCACACATTATCTAGACAATCGGCTCAAAGATGCTAGTAAGGTTGTCAGCCTTATGCGACAGCCGCGCTTTACTCCCCAGGAAAATTATTTAATAAATTCCTGGTACTCATTTCTGTTACAGGCTGAGTTGACCCCAGGGCCATAGTGGGGCCAGATGGATTTGTTTCTTAATTAATGATCACAAACCTGTACACTTCTTCTCCTGGTGGGTGCCTCCATACACATTTAACGGTGTGCCTCTTCAGAATAGTACGACTTTTCATGTACCGAAGGCAATATTCACACAGATACAATTTGGGTACCCGGGCATAGTCCTCTGGATAGGGGCTCTGGTACCATACTTCAACTTCAAACTTTCCTATTTCAATGTATTTTGTACCTTTCACATGAGGTAGGCTTTTCAAGTCCTCTTCCTAAATTAGACAGAAAAAATATACAAAAATACTGGAGTTGACAGATCAGTCTATACAATAAATAAATCTGGCTAGGTTACTTAAATATGTAACTGATCTTGAATATCCCCTTATTAAAACCTTATTCACTCCTTTATGAAATAATTTTGGGGCTCTGTTATAGTACTTCTGATTCATGTTCAGATTTTCATCACTTTTTCCAGGCAGATGCCAGGTTAGTATCTACAAATTAGGCCATGACTGCTTCCTTCCATATTCTTTGCAATTCATTATTCACTGCCATCCAATCATCACTCAACCATACATAACCCGAGATGCTGACAGTGTTGATAAATAAATCATGAACTATAAATAAAGCACTGTAATCCATTCTAGTAAATGGCAAAGCTGTCTCTGAGCTTAATTAAGCATCATGTCATGCAGCAATATGGGGGACAGGAGACACAGCTGAAGACACAGTTAACCTTGGCACTAGATGGAGATGAGTGGTCAGCTTTACCCCAAATGGAAGAGCTCCTGGTAACCCCTGGAACCAAATCTAGGCAGTCCTAAGAGCTGGTCAGGATGCAGTAGGGAAGAAAAAAGTATCTGTCTTGTTGGAAATTGAACCCTGGTTCTCCATTCCATTCCAGTACACACATTTTTTCATTTTTAATAAAAATGTAATTGTAAAAATGGATCCATTTAACTTGAGTTCAATAATAATCCATTTTATTTATTTATTTACAAACCATCTGACGATGATCCATGAACCAAAACATGTAATGGTTCAATGTAAAGTAAAGAAGTAAGTAAAGCTATCCCTGTAACAGGCCCTGGATGCCCATAGGGTTGTGAGATGTCAGGGCTCCCACATTTTTAGACAGTCGACTCACAGATGGCGGTAAGGTTGTCAGCCTTACACACCAGCCGCCCTTTACCCCCAAGAATATTCCTGGTACTCATTTCTGTTAGAGGCTGAGTCGACTCCAGGGCCAGTGCGGCTGGAAGGATTAGGTAAACTGAAAAATCCACCTCGTCGGGATTCGATCCCGCGACCTTCAGGCTTGTAACATAGTGCCTCAAGCAACTATGTTATCGCGTGTCCATAATGGTTCAATGAGACAATAAAACTGATTACACCACTGATATTTTTATTGATTTTTATAGGTTTTATTATGATTTAATTTACTTTATTGTTGTGTAAACAGTTCCCAGACCTCAGTTCATAAGAAATGTTGCCTCCAAAGCACAGGATGTCTTCTTTGTCATCTGACATTGTAAAATTAGTGTAACTTCTTTGTTATTGAACACAACTGCATATAACTTTCAAAGACTGTTCTACACAAGTGGGAAATTTGTATGTTGCCACTGGAAATGCTGAACTGAGCAATGAAATGGCGCTGAATATGATGGATCAGAAAGCGTTTATCATCAAAACCTTTTACTCTTTCTGATGGTTCTTGTCTTGTGGTGGTGAGATAGGATCACTGAGAGTTTTCTGTTCATGTTGCACTATCAAGAGAGGCTATTATCTACTGCATTGTTAAAGATCCTCCAGCAACATCAGGTGTGTGATAAAAGTTCGGAGGGACTAAACACAGTGCATACACAAGAAATTGCTGGTGCAGCAGTGGTGGCATCCAAGACAAAGTGTGCAACACTTAGCACAACACATTGGGGGCTCAACCAGAATTTCATGGAAAATTTGTCATTTCTGTACAAAATTCAGCTGTGTCAGCCACTACAGGAAGATGGAATAGTGAGATGTTATATACTTGTGAGGATGTAAGGAGGGATACCGGAAGACAATCCAGGCATCTTTAATGTTCAGGTGTTTCCAAAAAACCTGCATGCAATTCCAGAACTGAAAACTGCCATCCAATTGGAAACTGAAGCCACCTGTACAGATACTCTTAGCAAGTTCTGAATAATTTTGTTTGCATAAAGCTCAATATCTTCTGGAACATAACATGGGACATGTATAATGTAACAAACATATATCTCCAGTGTGTACAGTCATCTGTGAAAATTTTAAACATCTGTGTCCAATAACAAAAAAGTCATACAAATTTTAAGGTATGAGATAATAAAAAAGTACCCAAAAGTTAATGCCTGAAAGTGTTCTACACTTAAATCTGAAAGACTCACTTTTACATCAGTTCAGATACTCTGCTTTCAAATCTGCCTTCACAATATTTTCATATCATACTGCTTACTAAGGATTTGTAGATTAGAAAAATGACACAGTGCACTGGGAGAACACCGCACTTACACAGCTATATTTCTATAGGGTTAATCTCACACATATTATTTATAAATATGTTAGAGATCAAAGTGAACAGTCACTTAAGCCTCATCTGTAAAAACAAATATATGTTCCTGACATCTGAATATACTTTCATGTTTTAATTAAATTAGAGTATTTCCAACAAGTCGGCATTTGATAACAGGTTATATCAGGTAGGCTGATCATATGTCAATATTATAATTAACATCACATTTAACAAATATTTAAAGCAGGTCTTGCCCAATTTACCCAATTTGAGGGTTTCTCACATATAATGTAAAATTTCATTGAAACGAGATCTATAATCACAATGTTAAATGACCTCCACTTAAGAGTTTCTTCTGGCTAGTGTTAAAATCATTGGTCCTTGAAGAAACCTTAAATAAGGTTTTGCTCCATAAGGTCAATGTAACATGCAAGTTTTCTTCATTCAGCAAAATATATATTTGCATCTACCAGAGAAGAAGAAGCCACATACTCAGGAACTTTGCAATTCTTACTCTCAACATACCAATGATAGGGATTAAATTGCAAATGCTGAGGTGCGCGAAACATACTATATACAGGATGTCCCAGGAGGAAGGGACCAAACTTCGGGAGGGTGTTCCTTATGTTAAAGTATGCCGATATAACCCAAAACACCTATGTCCAAAGTTGAAGGGTTACGGAGATAATGGCCCGAGAAAAGTGTGGTCTTTTTGCGGGTTCACGGACTATACCTATCAGCTGTGACTGTTATCTGTTTGTCCTTGAGTGCTGTGATGTCACACTAGCCGCAATCTCATGCACTACCTACAGAGCCTACAGATTATGTTGCGGCGGGGTCGTGAATGGTTAGTAAATTATGTGTAGTTGTGCGGTGTTGCTGAAATGCCTTTTGTGTTTTCACACGTTGAATATTGTGATATGCATTTTGTGTATGGATTTTGCGGTGGCAATGCATGTGCTGCTGTTGAAGAGTACCAAAGGCGTTTTCCCGATCGAAGGATTCCATCTCGACGTGTATTTACGCGAATTCACCAGGCATTGCGTGTGACTGGTTCTCTTCCGAGTGTTTCTGTGCAGTCGGAAAGGGAGGATGTACAAATGAGAAACACACGAGAGAACGTTCTTGAGATGGTCGAGAGAATTCCGCGTCTGTCCACTCGTAGAATGGCCTCTCGCATCGGCGTATCACGTATGCAGGTGTGGCGAACTTTACATGATGAAGAGCTGTATCCTTACCATGATCAAAGGGTACAACATCTGGAACCAGGCGACCATGCACAACGTATGGATTTCTGCACTGGATAAAAGCTCATCCTCAACTGTTAAGCATCATTTTATTCAGTGATGAGGCGTCGTTTACCCGGGACGGTGTAAATAATTTACGAAATATTCATACGTGGTCCCATAATAATCCACATTAGATAATGGAAACAAAATTCCAAAAGAGATTTTCTGTGAATGTACGTTTACAGTTATGTGGTCGGCTTATAGCGCAGTCAGCCATATTACGTCATCGCTCGCCAGTCATGTGTCATGTATAGTGCTTGGAAACCCTAAGGACAATTATGACATGGCGAGCGAGTATTTCGTACTTCAATTTTATGGCTTCACATCACTCACAAGTTAGTTTGATGTTACATACATTATTAACATTACAGAATCCACATATTCATGCCAGTTTTAATATGTATTTTGTAATCAACAAGTGTGTAACACCGGTCAAAGTTTCACACTTCTCTGGCCATTATCTCCGTAACCGTTCAACTTTGAACATAGGTGTTTTGGGTTATATCGGCATACTTTAACATAAGGAACACCCTCCTGAAGTTAGGTCCATTCCTCCTGGGACACCCTGTATGTGAAGGAGACAAAAACTGCATACAGAATTTTAGTTGAAACCCTTCAAGGAACAAGTTCACTTCATAGGCAGAGGCACTTGTAAGAGGATAATACTAAATGTAATTTCAGAAAAATTGGTATGAAATTATGAACAGGAATGAACTGGCTCATCATGGGGTCCAGAGGCAAGTATTCAAAACACAATGATAAACTGCAAGGTTCCATAAAAGTATGAGTTCTTGACTAGTTAAATGCCTATAAAATCCCCATACAAGACCCTGAATCGTGGAGACAGCAGGTGGATAACCATGCAGAACTTACAATTTTTTCACTGGCAGCAGCTTGGGCTTCTTGAAATAGTTTAAGATCATACTCAGACGTGATGTTTGTAAGACGTGGTTCACGTTCCCGATCTTTCTCTTCAGGTGCACTGCTGTCAGTTTCAGGATCACTATTATTGTTATTATTACGTCGCTCAGATTTTGTCCGAAACTCCTTTATTTTCATCTGGTATTGACGCTGTTCAATTGTTAAGTGGTGTGACTTAGGTGACTTCTTGCTTAATAATGTCACAGCCTTGCGACGCTCTTCTTCCCTTTTATGACGTTCCAAATATATGTCCTGAAAATCAATGATTGGAATTAAAGAAACAGGAGGACTAGATTAAAGTACACAATATACATGGTGAAAATTCTGAGCAACTTCTCTGAAAATAAGTGAAGTACACATTCAGAACATTTCACAACCATAAGACTAATACAGTGTAAGGTATGGAAAATAAGACATTGTACAGAGGACAGAAAATAAAATGTTGCAGTTATGAACATAAAGAATGAATGCGAGCACATGAATGTATAAGGGGTGGGCCTTCTTGGCCCTTGCACCACGACTTACAGTGGTCTACTGTGCTATGCGAGCACATAGGCAGAATAACAGATTTACTGGATACAATCATGGAAAGAGCAGACCAAAAAGCATGGGAGCTGGAAGGAATTCATAACATGACAGAATGAAAGAATTATAAGGCAATGGGTTGGAATAATTAACAATAAAGCATTAGAATTGAAAACCTATGGAAATGAGCAAGCCCCGAGAACAAGTAAAGGAGCTCTAGAAGCTGAACTTCCAGCTTCATTATTGGGTTATTAAATTAAGATGGGTGTGGGGTAAGGAATGTATCACAAAGCTGGGAAAAAATGCGTGAACAAAAATGTTCATTGAAGAGTTGTCTTCTGGGATGTTATACCATATAGTCTGCCGAAAGACTACTGACATATTGGAAGAACATGTAAGCCAAACAAGAAACCAGCATAACGCATGCAGCAGAGATTAGCTATGCTCAAGAAAACTGACATTTTGCTTTTACACTGCTAGAAGGCATAGCATTACTTTCCTGATGATACCACCTATGCAAATATACTTAGGGGAGATGGTCTCCATAAAATACTGAAATTAAATCAAAATCAGTATAGCTGATTTTCAGAAAAGTGTGATTTTATATACGGGGCCCCCTATAAACGGCTCCTATTTTTGGAGCTAGTGTTCATATCCACCAGGCAATGACTTATGATGAATAAACTCTTGAACGACATATATAAAGAGATCTGTACACCACAGGGGTGCAAGCATGGTGCATGCACATGCATACAGACAGGCAGGTGGCATTCCAAAATACCATTTTTTTGTATTCAGGTATGCTGAAAACATGTAAAGCCATTAAAATCTTGAGACTCATTCTATTCACAATCACAGTAATTTGTCATACTACATATACCAGAAAGTAAAGGAGTAAATTAGAATGGAAAAACTAAAAAGGCAATTAATTCTAAGAGCAACAAACGAAGATCTACAAAAATGAGAGAAACAGTACAAAATTAGATGAATGCAATAAAAAAATTGGAAAGGATAATTTAAAAATTGAGGAATATATGAAGAATTTTACGTAACAGGTCTTAAGAAAATCATTCTGAATACAACAGAAGCATAAACAGAGATAGGATAAATATGTATGGGAAATAAAATCTGATGTTCACAGTCAGCATGTACAAGCATATAAAAATAATAACAGAACTCCATAATACCAGGAGAGGTGAAGTACTAATGTGGGAGAATTTTCATAAAAATTTAAAAATTAGTGATTTTTAATATCAGGGGCATTACCCACAATACGATGCACTTTCATTAAAAACATTCAGAAAGGAATTAAGGGCTAATCTAAGACAAACAATATTTTAAACAATTAGCAGCAAACAATTAACATACAGATAACACCATAATATAAGAGCTATTAATGGTATAGAAATAGTTAAACAAAATATTTGAAATAGGTGGAATACATATTGTATCAAACAAGGCTCCCTTTTACAAATGGAAAGATTATTACGATTAATTAATTAATTACATTGTGACATAAATATTTAGATGTGAGAACTGAATTACAATAACAAACATTACAAAGATGATTAGAAGACATGGAAAGAAAGTCCATAAACTGAAACTCAAAACTGCTTTATCAAATATAACCCCCCCCCCAAAAAAAGTAAAGTAAATCCATCCCTATACCAGGCCGTGAAGGCCCATAGGGTTGAGACGTTGAGACTCCCACATTACCTAGACCAAGGGTCTCCAAACTACGGCCCGCGAAAGAATTGTGCAGAAATGCGCCAATTGAACTAATTTTCCAACGAGTACTGGTAAAAAAATACTTGTTCATAGATTTCAAATTAATTAATTAAGATTGTGTTTAAAATATATTGATATTCCATATTATGTTAATATTATTCACAATTTTACTAATTCTGGACCGTATACTGCGCAGTATTTCTTCGTACTTGTTCGGCCTCGATCGGCAGTGTCACTTCGTGGCAATGTAGGTAGCGCGAGCAGTTCGTTACTAGGCATCTTGTGCACAAGACTTCTTGCAGTGGTGCAGTGTAATTGTAACACATCATCACCGCCGGTGTCGTACTTATTACCATTTTTGTATTAAAGGCAACTTATGCCCGGGTTTGCTCTAACTGTTCCGAGAATTGGTAGCGAGGAATGTCGATAAGGCTACCGGAACTTTAGTCCATTCTAAGACAGCCGGCTTGTAAATTTATCTCATTTTTGGGACAACATATCTGTGTGAACAAACTTTTCCCAGATGAAGTACATCAAGTCGAAATACAGGGCAAATTTACCCGATGAATATTTAAAGCCGCTACTTGTGATTAGCGTTTCAAAATTTGAACCTCAATTTAATCAGATTTTAAGAATGCAAAAAGAGTTCCATCATTCACATTAATTGTTTCATTAAAATTTGTGATGAAAATATGAGCATTTGCTGCTACTGTCTGTTGTCATTAATATGTGATAATTTATTCTCACGTACTTTGTATTTAAGATAAAGTCCAAAAACACAATATATCAGTGTGTTATACACCATCGTCAGAATCCTATAGTAACTATTTGTATTTAGTTTATGAAATTCTGTGCTTTCAATAAAACTCATATACCTAGAGTTATTAATTTCTCATTTTATCCGGCCCATTGAAAGTGCTGAATTACCTAATGTGGCCTGCCTTTTGAAAAGTTTGGAGACCCTGATCTAGATAATCGGCTCAAAGATGGCGGTAGGGTTGTCACGCTTATGCGCCAGCCGTGCTTTACTCCCCGGGAAAATTATTTCATTAATTCCTGGTACTCATTTCTGTTAGAGGCTGAGTGAACACCAAGGCCTAGTGTGGTTGGAAGGATTAGGTCAACTGAAAAAATCCAATGACCTCATCGGGACTTGAGCCCCGCGACCTTCCAGCTTATAGCATAGCCCCTCAACCAACTATGCTACCGCGTACACCATCAATATAACCTAAAGGGTATAAAATGACTTGGATGACAAATGAAAAGCTGGAAGGAACAGTTTTAATCCTTGTGAACTGGAACAGACCAAGGTATTCGTATTGATGATGCTCAGAATCCAAAGTGTATCCACTTACCTTACATTCTTGTGCTGTTTTGTTGTGGTACTTAGGACAAGCTTCAATGGTGAAATGTTTCTCAGCTCGCCCTCCAAGGTGCCCTAATGAGTCGCACCCATCCAGAGGGCAGCGACGTTCTTCCACAGTAGGTGTCTGTGAGGTATCACTGTTAGCAGCTCCACCACGACCCTTAGTTTTCCTTGGACATGGACCTTTTGGTCCAGCAGCTTTCTTTACAGGAGACTTGCTTGCAGCACTAGCACTGGTCTTGCTCTCTGTGGAAAGAGAATGAAGTTGTCTCCTGACACCATTACCTATCACAGATCATAGTGCAGTTGCTAAATCACAGTGGAAAGACATAACCCCTGAGACTTCTACAATTTACAAAAGAATTTTGACTGTAGTCTTCTGTGTTATAATGTTATGCAGTCTAATACAGTGAAACTCCTAAATCAGGTTTATTTTGCAATTAATGGATTTTAATATTAAACTGAGGAAGAACTTAAATGGAAATAATTTAACATACATATTACTGACTTCAGATCAGTGAAACTGGACATTATATAAGGGAATATCATAACACAAGGAACATTAACTGAGGCTTACGCCACAGGTGGGGGGGGGGCATGCAGCAGTGTAGTTGGTTGAGGCACAATGCTACAAGCTGGAAGGTCACAGGATCAAATCCCGATGAGGCGGATTTTTTCAATTTACCTAATCCTTCCAGCAGCACTATGGCCCTGGGGTCGACTCAGCCTCTAACATAAATGAGTACCAGGAATATTCTTGGGGGTAAAGGGCAGCGGGCGCATAAGGCTGACAACCTTGCCGCCATCTATGACTGTCTAGAAAATGTGGGAACCTCAACATCTCACAACCCTATGGGCCTCCACAGACTGTTACAGGGATAGCTTTACTTACACCGTATGTGGTTATTAAAGTTTTGCAGGAATCTGCTGCCTTCATCATCATAGTAGAAACTTTTCTATATACTGTCACAAATCAGAAGACCACAGTCTACATATTCTTTGCAAATCTCAATCTTCAAACGTGTCCTTTATGATTTTCCATATATTACTAATTTTGTTCAATATTATCTATTGCTGTAAAGCTAATAAATAAAATAAAATGGGGCAGAGACATCAAACATTTTCCTTTTGATGTGTTAAATGTACACCATTCAAAAAAATTTGTAAAATAAGTCAGAGGTCTTGAGATCTACATATTACAGCATAAGCCAACACTTTATAGAAAGAGCTAATATGGGGGGAGGGGATAAAGTTAACTTTAAGATTCATGTAAAACAGGGGTTTTAGTACTAACATGATGAAATACGAAATCTACCTGTAATTTTTGGTATAGTCCTTCAGCAATAATTTTAATTGAAATCTATTTCAACATTTTCCTCTAAAGTGCCAAATATTCCTAACTGACTATCTAACAACCAGACACTGCATATCAAAGACATAATCTATCAAATCTGAAATTAATGCAATATCCTGGGCAAACTGCTGCTGCTGTGAGCACAACATCCCAGTAATGGATCTTGGTGCTCAAGAAATATCCATACTTTTTTAAAATTAAATGTCTGGGATTTTGAGAAAAAAGTGTTAAGGAGAATGCCTGAACAACAGACAGAGAGACAATAACAGGAGGATGGAGATAATTATGCAATGAGAATATTCTTAATTTATACATCACCAAATAGTGTTAGGATGATCAGATCAAGGAAGATGAGATATGTGGAATGCGTGCAAGTCATATGGCGGACATGCAAAACGCATACAAAACTCTGATCAGAAAGCCTGAATGGACCTGATCACTTGGGAGACAGAGGCAGTGATGGAAGAAAATGGATCTTAGGTGTGAGATGGAAGAAACTCAGCTGGCTCAAGATAAGATCCAGCAGTGAACTCTTCTGAACACAGTAACGAAGCTTCATGTTCTATAAAAGATGAGAATTTCATGACCTGCTGAGTGACTGTCAACTATTCAAGGATGACTCTAATCCATGGAGTTAATTAGCTGTGAGGAATGGACATCCTTTTCTTACAGATTAATCTTTCTAGAATCCATGAACTCTTAATAGTTCAAATATTTCCCACCTAGATGACATGTAAAAACAGAATACAGAACTTAAATTGTAGTCATGCTTCATGCAACATTACAAGTTCTGACTATGTGTGATTAAGTAAATAAGGAATTAATTTGCAGGCAGTAGTTCCAATCCACGATACAATAACTGCAAAAATAGTTAGAGTGATCTGTAGCTGATGACAACAGATCCCCTATTTGATAACCGTATGTTAAACTCATTGCAAAGAAAATGGAGGATATGATTGAGTATTACTTTTATTATTATTTTATTATTATTAGTAGGGTGAGAGTGAGTCCACTTGGTACTGCGGCCTCTACTGACCTACTGTACAAGTCCCAAATGACAGATGATGGTGACTGGAGAAACTGATGGAATGAGATTGGCGGGGGAACCGAAGTACTCTGAGGAAACCTTCCCCAGAGCCACATTGTCCACCACAAATCCCACATTACCAGACCCAGGCTCAAACCCAGGCCACCGTGGTAGGAAGCCAGCAACTAACTGCCTGAGCTATGGTGTGGCGGACATGCATGACTTAACCTTTGAGACAAGCATATGACTACTGGCAGGATCAACTAGGGAACCACCCAAACAGTGTGCGTCCCTCCCTGAGCTCGTCTGATGCCAGGCACCAGTCCACTCTCCACACAGACAAATCCTCTCTTGATCCCTCTAGCTTTGGTCTGAGAGACATACCCCTTCTCCATCACTACATCAGAGCTGTCACACACTCGACCAGCACCATAGGTGCTTGGCAGTGTGAGGACATGCCTACTCAGGAGATACGTGCATGAGACTAAAATATGCCTCAGCCCCAGGGAGCAGGTAACTGCAGTTGTCTCACAGCCTAGCACCGTATAGGACCATGCCATAAGGCAGAGGGCCACGGCAGAGCCATGACTGAATATATCTGAGTAGCAGTGACATCATTTGTGACAGTATTATATAGTGCAAATGTAAGGAGAACTAATATTCCCTTAACATTTCTCTTCAATGCATTCATGTGGAAAAGATTGATTAAAAAACGCTGCTGGAAGAGATGTGTTGGATGGATTACCATGTAGCGCAGTATGTTACCTGAAATTCTAGCTGGATTCAGGATAACAATGTTTAAGTTTTCTAGTAAAGTGAAACACGTACCACTTTCAGATTCAGTATCACTCGTTTTGCCCACAAGATGCTTGCTCCTGCGTGCACTGGATGACCGGGTAAGCTTCCGTGTTATCACAGCATTCTTTGACCCCTCACCATCACTTTCAGACATAGGACCAGACTCAACAGCTGACGAAGGAGCTTTAGACTGCGGTGGGGTCTCCACCCTTGATCGAACACCAGGAGGAGCAGCTGATTTCTTGATGGCTGCAGTCTTCTTGTGAGTTGGCTTTGTTGTAGCAGATGAATCTGCTGAAGAATCCGTATCTGAACTGCTGTCTGCTAGAAACACAAACACAAACACAATCAGTGAACTTCTTCTGGCTTATTTTGGACTTCACCCATCGTCTCGTATGTAAAACAAAAAGAAAATGACGTTTCGGAGACTGGATCTATCTCCGTCTTCAGGTGGGTAGGGAAGGATAAACCTACTCAGTTGGGCCCGTTAGAAAGAGCTAGTCTCAATCACTGGACCAGTGATTGAGACTAGCTCTTTCTAACGGGCCCACTGGTCCAGTGACTGAGACTAGCTCTTTCTAACGGGCCCACTGGTCCAGTGACTGAGACTAGCTCTTTCTAACGGGCCCACTGGTCCAGTGACTGAGACTAGCTCTTTCTAACGGGCCCACTGGTCCAGTGACTGAGACTAGCTCTTTCTAACGGGCCCACTGGTCCAGTGACTGAGACTAGCTCTTTCTAACGGGCCCACTGGTCCAGTGACTGAGACTAGCTCTTTCTAACGGGCCCACTGGTCCAGTGACTGAGACTAGCTCTTTCTAACGGGCCCACTGGTCCAGTGACTGAGACTAGCTCTTTCTAACGGGCCCACTGGTCCAGTGACTGAGACTAGCTCTTTCTAACGGGCCCACTGGTCCAGTGACTGAGACTAGCTCTTTCTAACGGGCCCACTGGTCCAGTGACTGAGACTAGCTCTTTCTAACGGGCCCACTGGTCCAGTGACTGAGACTAGCTCTTTCTAACGGGCCCACTGGTCCAGTGACTGAGACTAGCTCTTTCTAACGGGCCCACTGGTCCAGTGACTGAGACTAGCTCTTTCTAACGGGCCCACTGGTCCAGTGACTGAGACTAGCTCTTTCTAACGGGCCCACTGGTCCAGTGACTGAGACTAGCTCTTTCTAACGGGCCCACTGGTCCAGTGACTGAGACTAGCTCTTTCTAACGGGCCCACTGGTCCAGTGACTGAGACTAGCTCTTTCTAACGGGCCCACTGGTCCAGTGACTGAGACTAGCTCTTTCTAACGGGCCCACTGGTCCAGTGACTGAGACTAGCTCTTTCTAACGGGCCCACTGGTCCAGTGACTGAGACTAGCTCTTTCTAACGGGCCCACTGGTCCAGTGACTGAGACTAGCTCTTTCTAACGGGCCCACTGGTCCAGTGACTGAGACTAGCTCTTTCTAACGGGCCCACTGGTCCAGTGACTGAGACTAGCTCTTTCTAACGGGCCCACTGGTCCAGTGACTGAGACTAGCTCTTTCTAACGGGCCCACTGGTCCAGTGACTGAGACTAGCTCTTTCTAACGGGCCCACTGGTCCAGTGACTGAGACTAGCTCTTTCTAACGGGCCCACTGGTCCAGTGACTGAGACTAGCTCTTTCTAACGGGCCCACTGGTCCAGTGACTGAGACTAGCTCTTTCTAACGGGCCCACTGGTCCAGTGACTGAGACTAGCTCTTTCTAACGGGCCCACTGGTCCAGTGACTGAGACTAGCTCTTTCTAACGGGCCCAACTGAGTAGGTTTATCCTTCCCTACCCACCTGAAGACGGAGATAGATCCAGTCTCCGAAACGTCGTGGTCTTTTGTCTTTTACATACCAGACGATGGGTGAAGTCCAAAATAAGCCAAAAGAAGTACAGTATACACCATCGTCAGGATCTTTTCAAGACAATCAGTGAAATCATTCCATCCTATTTACTGTCTTTAGTTAGTAATGTACACATGGTGCTCATCTCAAAATACAGAATGACAACCATTCCTAGAACAGATCTGAAGGGAGAAACACAAAAAGGAAAGCTGGTAACATTAAGGATACAACGGCATGGGTACATCATGCATGGACAACAACATGACTGTGCAGAGAACACCAACATATCAGATAATGAACAAATGTCTACTGGGGAGACCAAAGACTGAATGGAGAGACCAACTGAGACACAATGTCCAAAATAAAGTAGAGAAAGGGTTTTTCTTAATTTGTTCTCCTATAGAAAATGTCTGAGAAAAAATGTCAAAATGTTATTTATTAATATCTTATTTATACTACAGACATAATACGTTTATCCTTTTCACAAAAATCTGTCATGGAGTCATCAATTTAAGGCAAAGCATGTGTGCTCTGTCACATGGAACTGAAGTTGCTCATTAGTGCGCAAAGGAACTTTGATAAACATACAGAAGGAATGCTCCCATGTAATAACACTAATAAGTGATACAGAAAGTTTTATGAAAAGGGACATTCTCTTGGAAGCCCAAACATGTCTCAAGACAATGTTCAATGCATCCACCATTCCCACACAGCCCTCAAAAAGTCCATCAAACAGGCCAATAGACACTTAACTAAGGATTCCAAACGAACATGGTTCATATATTGTTTTTCATTAAGAACTCAAACTTTGTGCATACTAGAAGTAACATTTACCATCTAACTAACTAACTAACTAACTAATTAACTAACATATAACCACATAATAAACCTAAGTGAGTCCAATCTGTCATGTTTATGTTGAAACAGTTTGATGAAAACACAAGGTACCTCACCAACACTCTTTTCAGTTTATGGCCATTTTTCACATGAGTGGTGTACTGAACTATCAGAACTAGGGAATTTGGGCAGTTGACATCCTCAATTCTAAGACTATGTCAATAGTAAGGCACACCTTTGATCTGATTCAGTAATCAGGAAAAAAAGACGCTATCAAGCGTCAGACACATCCTTGATTTCATTTTAGTGCTGTATCCTAATGGGATCATTTCTAAGATACTGTAATGTGGCAATTACCTATAGTATCTGGGGTTTGAAACTTCACGTAAAAATTAAAATACACCAAACTGTAGCACTAATCATATCCGACAGCAAACTGAGACAGTAACTGAATGCTTAACAATGGTATCAATACCCACCCCCAACTCCCCTTCCCAAGTTTTAATATAAGTATTAAGAAAGGTTCAGAATGCAACAATGAGCATAGGTGTAACAGTGAATGCTGACTGAATGTTAGTCAATATTAAAACTGCTTTGTATTTTCGACCTCCAAGCCCCATCTGGTACTTCATATACTGTACATGTCATATTAGTTTGTTTGCACTCTGCGCCTCTTTACTGATACAGAAAAAAATCATTTTTCTGAAGACATGTCACCAAGTGCAAAGTTTCTTGTATTTAATATTTTCTTCTGCACTGCACCATGCAGTAGAATCAGGGTTGTGTTTTGGACATCATTTGCCTAACTTCTGAAGTAGAAAAAAATCAATAACTTTCCTTAGTCTGTCTCTCGGAAGGAACAGTTCCTGTATTCACCACTTTTATGCAATGTGCCAGGTGAGGAGAAACAGCGTGGCATGGATGTCTGCACTGCAGTTCCATGAACAATTTTTGTTGTGCTTGGTGATCACTTACATTTGTCTCTAGGCTCTTGGAAATACATGCATGTCACTTTGTGATCTTCGGAGTATATTTCATTGAAATGGTTACTGTAAAATATATGAAGTTGCTGTCATAGTCCAAATGTTTTTCTTATTGGGGGGGGGGATAAAGAAACTGATTTTGACTTGTACCCATGTAAACAAAAGGAAAATTAACAATTTTCCTATGATTATTTCTCAAATTGGAAATTTGTTTCTATTTACTGATTTTTTTATACTGCACTGTTTCGAAAAAATTGGGTGGGATGGACAGACACACATTTATCTCTTACATACAGATGTATATAATGCCTTTGATTTGTTTCATTCTGGTCCGTCACATTAATAATTACAAAGACAAAAATAACACAGTCTAATGTGACTATTTAAGTTTTAAGTTTCATCATTTGAGGACTCGCCACCCTTACATCAATACTTTTTCGGAAACTACTATTACAATAGATGTTAATTATATACACATATAATGTCTGAAATGCACAGTGTTCACAGTGTTCAACCTTTCACATTCACAGCAGCCTTCCTGGTGTTAAAACTTTTTAAAAAATTTTCTAGTTCAAGCCTAAAATTTTCTGAACCATACAGGTTCCTGTCAATTCTCCTATTGTTATTCTTGGAGGTGGCTGATCCTGTGCTGCCTGTCTATCTTGCGAAAGGAGATTCTTAATATTTCCGTGTTTATTCGTGGCCTACCGTGCTGATAAAACTTAAATAGTCACATTAGACTGTGTTATTTTTGTCTTTGTATATAATGCCATCTACCAAGCCTAGATGATATATAATAGAGGTTTATATGGCCAGTGGCTAAGAAATTGTTGCAATATGTGTATGTACTTTAGAAGTGCGAAGTTAATTCTGCCATTCAGCTTAAATTTTTACCCCACAAATGAAGACAGAAAGAAATCATGGACTCTCACAAGGGTGCTGTTAACAGTCTTACCAGACGATCCTGATGAAGCAGAGGTAGAGGAAGCAGAGCTGGCACCTGATTTGCTGGGTGGGGTTGGCACTATTTCAGGTTTCACTGTTGCCTTTGCCTTCGGTTTCGGAGCACTCGCACTTTTTGTGGCAGTATTTTTCATGGGACTCAGCTTTGGCGGAGATGTTGTCTGGTCATCACTTTCACTGCTATTCTCGGGGCTAAAAATACTCTTCATCTTCAACTTTTTTTGTGCACTGGAGTCAGACTGTTGCTTGTTGGATGTTGCTGAAGCCTTAGGAGTTGCATCTTTGTCCGCTGTAGTCGATTTCTTGTTGGTCCCAGTATTAGAATTACCAGAACCTTTTACAGCAGTTTGTTTTGATCCAGTTGTACTACTACTTTTTGCAGTCTGTTTTGTCTGTTTTGTGACTGGTGTTACTGTAGCAGATGCTTTTGGTTTTGCCGGGGGCTTGCGTTTAGTGTTTGGTTTCGGCTGAGATTCTTCAGACTCAGATGAATAAATTGGATTTGATTTTGATGATCGTGATTTATTAGATAACTGCACTTTTTCTTTACTTTTTGCTGTCTCTGTATCATTTGTGGTGTTGCCTGTGTTGTTCTTTGTTTTGGCAGAAACTGCTTTCTTCTTTGACACTTTGTTACGAGAGTCTGAATCTGTGGATCCATGCCCACTCTTCGCTGCACTTGCTTGTGATGTGGATGAATTCTCAGAATCTGATGAACTAGATTCAGTCCCAGATGATGAAGAAGAACTGGAAGAAGAGGATGAACTGTTGCTTGATGATGTTGACTCTGAACTGGTCACGTTAGCTTGCTGGAACAGAAGATGACACTCAAAATACTGATTCTATAACTCAAAAGCGTCTTTCATTTGCTTATGATATAAATGTACAGCAGTCCATTTTACTTCAGACTTAATTAATTTTTCACCCATTGTCACAGAAACAGCAGTCTCACTGAATGTTACGGCATTGGAATTAAATCTTACTTTTTGCTAGAAAGCTAGTGAACAAGCAATTAGATGGAAGAGACCTCATTTGATTTTCCAGTTTGGTATTACAGTGAAAAATTAGGAGCCAGAAGGAAAAATTAGGAATGACTGAGATCATATAATTATTACTTTTTGTGGTTATAAAATACACCATATTTCAATGATGTCCAATAATATTTGTCAAAGTACGATGAAAGATCAAGGATATATACATAGTACTGCTCACAACATATTTGGGAGAAGCTGTTTGTGACATCCAGTCACAAAGAGAGTCTTTACTAATGTACATGTGGAGTGGTTGAGTCAGTTTCAAATCACTAGTCATGCTAATCACAACATTTCACACTTTTCTACCAAATGAAATACTTTGAACAGACCACAAACTACAAAATGAAATTGAAACATGCAATGAGTTTTACATATTCTGATTACGAACAATGAAAATAAATGTGTTATAAGGATCTAACATATGCAATTTGATAACTCCTAGTATGGAGATGACAAAAATATCTTGAACAAAATGTGAACTCATATCAATAACTTGAGCGAGCATACAGAATGCCATGATGTACTGATTAGCACACCTAATGCATATTTGGAACCTCCCACAATCCAGTATTATCAGCTTAGAGGCCAGATTATTTAATCCACGTAGTTCATAGTTTTCCTTAGCCCTATGAGGCAAATTATGGAATAGTGCTTTAAAACAAGTAATGACACCCCCTGTATTTTAGGTATGGTGGTGAATATGAAGAGTACAGTCTTCTGCATGAAACCAGCAGAAACAGGTGGCATGCAGGTGTTTAGCTACCTGCTGCTTCTGTTGGTTTTGTGCTTGACATATTCTTCAACACCAAAGACAGAGGTGACATCTTCCTACATCTTCCTACCATACTTTTCAAGTAATGATGCTTCCTTCCACATCATTTCAATTTATCATGCACAGTCATTCTGCCATTCAACATTATTTAGCCTATGCAGTATGGAAATCATCATTATACAAACTTAAACACATATCAAATATCACTGTCGATATTCAATACTAAAGCTATATCTCTGTAACAAGCTGTGAAGACCCACAGTGTTGTGAGACATCAAGGCTCTCACATTTTCTAGACAATCGATTCACCAGTGGCAGTAAGGTTGTCAGCCTTATGTGCCAGCTCTATCCCCAGGAAGATTCCTGGTACTCATTTCTGTTAGAGACTGAGTCGACCCCAGGGCCAGTGCTGCTGGAAGGATTAGGCCAATTGAAAATTCCAATGACCTCATCAGGAATCAAACCTGCAACCTTCCAGCTTGTAGCATAGTGCCTCAACCAACTACACTACTGCATACTGTGCTATATTTTATAATTGCCTCCAGCTATGATAAGAATGTACGCATATATCATTTTATGTGTCCAGTATCATGTATACACTTTCTGGTAAAGAATATTCAAGCAACGAGGAACACAAAAATAACGTATACTGCACAGGTTCTATTCTTCATCGTTCACTCTTCTAGTAATTGAAACAGCACAAATTTCGGATTTCTGTGGATTCTGAATCAAACAAAAACTGTTGTTACATAATTCTCCTGCAGGAAATGAAGAAATAATAGTATAATCAGGATAACTGGCCTTTAGATTATGTGATTAGTGGGCTTTCCGTAGCTCGTAGAGCTAATTATTTTTATAGAAATACCGTATCAGACATACACTTGTTTAATATCACAAACTTCCACTTAAATGATCCGTTTTTCATGGAGTTAAAATACTAAAACAAGTGTGTTTGTGTTTACATGTTCTGTTGTTGGTCACTGCTGAGGTGTATAAACAAGTTAGTCTGTGGCATAAACTTCATAAGGGTATTAATATTGAAACAGTACAAGATAGAACATTTCACCTTCTTTTTGGGCGTCATTTTTCTCTACATTTACGCACAAGTTAAGTCACAAAATGTAAAATAATCGTTAAAATGACAGCAACATTTAATCACGCCGTAGCCATCTTACACGCTATACCACGTGCAGTAAGAGCAGTAAGAGTATAAAATGCAGAGACCAGCACAGATGCCACTTGGCGATTCCATGGAACGTAGAGTAAATGTATAATTCTCCACTAGAGGTCTCTGTTCTTCGGTAGTTTCATATTTACATGAAAGATAGCGCCTTATGCTAGGAAGGGTGGACAGAAATACTCCCTACAGAGGGCCGGACGGGCATTGCCTAGGCCTTTTTTGTATTTACAATTATTTTTTACAATAAACAAAAGCAAAACAAAAAATACTCATTTCTAATTATCGCCCAAATCATTTGTATCACTATTACATTACTGCACATCAGTAAAGAGAGAAAATAACGGGCGAAATTGTGTCACTATAGCAATATACCCGTATGGAGAAAATTTCGTTCGTCGATATAGTGGTAAAGCGACTCTGAACGCGATTTCGCCAACTACTCACTAAGATGTCCCAGGTTCAGACCAAGATCAGTTTATGTGGGAATTGTGATAGGCAGAGTGGTACTATGGTAGGTTTTCTCTAAGAATTAATTAATTATTTTTTTAAATTGCTAGTGGGGTGGGACTAACTCCCTTATACTGCGGCCACTTGTGGCCCCTTGTACCAGCCCCAGATGATAGGTGAAGGTGATTGTGGAGCAATGGGTGGAATGAAGATTGTCAGAGGAAACCGAAGTACTCGGAGAAAACCTGCCCCAGCGCCACTTTGTCCACCACAAATCCCACTTGACCAGACCCTGGATCGAACCCAGGCCGCCGCGGTGGGAAGCCAGCGACTAACCGCTTGAGCTATGGCGCGGCCTTAGGTTTTCTCTAAGTAATTCTTTGTTTTGTCGATTGCCATTCCCCCAAATGCTCTATTTCTGTCACTTATCATCAGTAGGTTCGTACAATGGGCCACACATGACCTAAGTGAAAGGAGCTTACTCTCACAGTACCATAACAACAATAATAATAACCTAAGTAACTAACCTCATGGAACTGAGCCTTCTTGAGGAGCCGCTAATTGCGTAGCCACTCAAGAACTTACCAGCAATTTGTGGAACCCGAAAGTTCACAGGAGTCCTTCACTAATCCCTATCCTGAGCCAGATCGATCCACTTAATACTACCCCATCCTATTTCTGTAAATAGTAATAATAATAATAATAATAATAATAATAATAATAATAATAATAATAATAATAATAACAAATCGCTTATTTCAATTTATTTGAGTTCTTACCAAGAGCATTGGCTTATTACAGGTACATATTAAAATACATAAGAAATAATGTAAAGTTGTCCCTGTGCTTAATTAATTAAGAACTATACCATGAAGACAAATGGAAGAGTGGATATATAGCTGCACCATTCTTGACCTCGGCACAAGATCGAGCTGAGTGGTCAGCTTCACGCCTCGGCCGCTTTATCCCCGAGGAAAGGACCAGCGGTGCCCACTAGATAAGAGTCTGGGTGGGCCCCAGAGCAGGTCTGGACGCTGGGGAGAAGAGAATAATCTTGCCTCTGCTAGCATTTGAACCCCGGCCGTTAAGCCCATTGCCCGTCACTATGGCGACTGAACTAATAAAATAAATTAAAGGAGAAGAATAATTTAACTCGATTATACAAAGGAAACGTGTCTTCCAAGAGAACCACATTCCCGTAAACACACAAAAACAACTGAAAAATGTTATTAGCAAACTTTGATACTCATGGCCGAAGGAACATATTTTGCATTACTCGTACTTTCTTACCGGTGCTATAACACTGTGTGGGTCTTAGCCTCCTCCACGGTTTCATAACAGCAAAATTTTCCAGGGTGTGGTCGTTAACCCAATTCCCAACCTCCGCCCAGGAGGACTAGGAACTATGTCCGCTCCTTACCGTTTAACCGGTCTGGCATGGATTACTCTACCATAAGCTTACGCTGCCGACCATGATACTCGCACGTCGGCAATACTCGAGGAGGACCTTACATTACTGTTTACAGGAAACAATTAAAATTTCCGAATTAATTTCGTGTGTACCTGTACACGAAGACTACCAGAGTGATACAGTGACAAGTTCATGTTCCCCTTAAAACGCTAACGACAATACTGTGACATGACCCACGAAAGCCGGAATAGTGACGTCAGAATAGACGTTCATTTTTATGCGAAGATTCGGTAAATATAGTCCCGCGGAAACGAATACGCAAGTAACAATCGAGTAACTTCCTTTGCTATGTAACGGCGCTGTAAAAACGCCTCCAAAGTAATAGAGAGACCGTCATTTCTGTGTGGTCCGTGCTAAGTGGTTATAAAGAAGAATTCATATGATAAGAGTTAGCGAGTTTCGAGACGCCAGCCTGTCAGGATATGAGCTCGGGAGCAGAGGAACTGAATTGAGTTGTCAGTTGCAGAATAATGGCAAGGAAGGAATTACGCTGTGAAAAGAAGACTTCATGTGTGATTTGAAATGCCACTGAGACTGTTATAAATCTTTTGCCAGGATACGACTAGTGAAGACTGAGAACCCTAGTGCGTATGTAATGGTGAACTGTATAGTATGCAGATCAGCGATAGCGCTGTATTGCCCGTAGTTTCAAGTGGTGTGTATAAGGTGTCATTCAATCATCTAATCCTGAACCCGTCTATAAGTCAAGCATAACTCCTTACACGTCACAATAACAACAACAATAATAAACCTACAAGAAGCCGTTGTGTGGAAAATATATTCTAAAATCTAAAGATAATAAAATTAAATCGCTATTTGAGAGAAAGATCAAAATGATGAAATCGACTATAAGATAAACTAACTAATTTCTTTTGCATATTTTCAAGTTTAATTGAATTTGTCAA